TTAGTCCTCACCACACAGGGAGAAATGACGCTTCTTTTATTTCACACACACACACACACACACACACACACACACACACACATTTCATTTTCATTCCTGTTGCTGTTTTATTTTTCTTTTGACCTTCATGCTTAGCAGTGCCAGGCCCTCAGTGAGCAGCTCCCAACTCTGACTTTGCCTTGTATCCAACACATTACCATAATTAACAGTGACTGGAAACAAATAATTTAATTCTGGGGCAAATAAAAATGAATCAATGGTGCCAACTCTATTTCCCATCTTTCTAATTGTCTGTAACAAAAAGAGAAGAGGGATCTTCTTGTCTTGGTGTGAGATTCATTTAGGAAAATAAAAGACAGATGAATAACTGGTGATGTGCTGTTTCTCACTCCTACAAACATTGTCCTAGCAGGAAAATCTTTCTTTGTACAGAATAAATATTTAAAAACCACAAAAATATGGCTAGGCATGGTAACATATATCTGGAATCCTAACCCTTGAGATGCTGAGGTAGGAAGATTATATGTTTGAGGCCAGTCTGAATCTCACGGTAAGATCCTGTCTCAAAAAGAGAAAGAAAGGAAAAGAGAAAGAAAGAAAAGGAAGAAAGGAAGAAAGGAAGGAGGGAAGGAAGGGAGGAAGGAAGGAGGGAGGGAGGGAGGAAGGAAGGAAGGAGGGAGGGAAGGAAGGAAGGAAGGAGGGAGGGAGGGAGGGAAGGAAGGAGGAAGGAAGGAAGGAAGGAAGGGAGAAAGGGAGGAAGGAAGGAGGGAGGGAAGGAAGGGAGGAAGGAAGGAAGGAAGGAAGGAAGGAGGGAGGGAAGGAAGGGAGGAAGGACGGAAGGAAGGGAGGGAGGAAGGGAGGAAGGAAGGAGGGAGGGAAGGAAGGAAGGAGGGAGGGAAGGAAGGAAGGAGGGAAGGAAGGAAGAAGGAAAAAGAAACAGAGGGGAAAACAGGAAATATATTTAGAATGAAATTATAAACCTAGAAAGAGCTCATCCTACAGTAAGACCTCCTTCCAGTCCCATTTATATGCAGAAACAGGAACTGGATGTGGCATTCACAACAAAGTCAAGAGGAGAACAATGAAGCCTTGGATTCAGGATGTCCAGTTTCCTTAATTATGGAATTACAAGTTCTAAGGGCTGAGTATAGTCATTACTCATTCTAAATCTGAAGCATGCAGGGTTTGGGCTTGGTGACCTAGAGCTTCTCTTGATGTTTTAAACTCTCCGTGAATGGAACTGGAGGGCAGTGCTGTGCTGAGGTGAGGCTCTGGCAGTGCTTGGCAGGTCTCTTCCAATGAGGCATTCCAGAACTGTGAAATCAAGCATAGGGTGGAGCCAGTGACTCCCTGGCCTGCTGTGAGCTGGACCTGAGATAAAATGTCACGGGATCACCTGACTTCTCCAAGTCCCTGCACTGACTGGTAGACTACAGTGACATTTTTGGTCTCTTTTAATTAGATCAGTGTCCAGGACGTTCTGTGAAACATATTTTCTTTTTTTCCATGAAGCATATTCATCCCTTTGGTAAGGCTGGGAGAAATACCAACAGAGTTAATGTTTAGTTGTATAGTGGCATCCTTAACCCACAAGGACTGGGTTTCTTCCTTATTCAAAGTACTTGGGTCTATAAAGTGCCTCTGGCCTGGAGCGCAACTGAGGAGCCATGATTGTTTTTTATGACTTGAGTTAGGATTTTTTTTTCACTCAGTGTGGAACTTTTATGCTTATGCAAATCAAGTAAGAATTTAATAACACTGTTTCACTTCCAGGAACACCAGGCCAATGTCGGTGGCCTGCAGGGTCAGGCTGTTGTGATTTCAGCTGCCCTTTCTGCCTTTATAGTACCCATGCCCACCTTCCTTTGAGCAGTTAAATAAAATGGTTTCCCTCCATATCTGCAGGTTTCAGATCCTTGGATTCTACACAGCATAGACTGACAATATTCTGAAAAGCTGTGGTTTTAGTCCAACATGTGCAGTCTTCTAGCCATTATTCTATTCATAACACAGTATGGTAACTATTTACTTAGCAGTGACATTGTATTAGGCATTATAAGTAATCTAGAAATGATTTCAAGTATATGGGAGGATGTGTATAGGTCATATGCAACTAATGTGCCATTTATACTAGAGACTTGAGTACCAATTTGCGAATCTGTGGAGTTGGGGTATGGGGCTTAGAACGAATGCTCTATAGACACTGAGGGCAGACTATGTAGAACACTGCAGTCCAAGCTCTTTGGAATTTCCATATCTCCTCTATCATGTGCCTTCAGTCACTACTCAGCTGCTCCTCAAACTCCAAGATAAGAATGTACAACACTGCACTGTTCTCTCTCTCTCTCTCTCTCTCTCTCTCTCTCTCTCTCTCTCTCATCTTTTTGAGAGAGGGTCTCCCCAACTAGCCTGGAACTCACTATGCAGACCAGCCTGGCTTCAACCTCACAGAGCTCTGCCTGCCTCTACCTTCTGAGTGCTGGGATTAAAGACATGCACACCACACCCTGCATTTTCTCTCCCTTTTGCAAAAGAAAAATCAGGCTGGAGGGCTGAGTGACTTCCAGGTCCCACAGTAAAGGGCAGGGACTGGTATATTTGGGTTTCTTAACTTTTAGTCTGTGACAACTTCACAAAATTACTATACCACTGGTATCACAATTTAGAAAGCCTATGGGTGTCAATAATTTACACTCCGTATTTTGCCAGGTAAACTATGTTAGCTAGAGGTCAGCAGCCCAGACCTACTGGCTGAAGGATGGTTTGTCCATGATAAGGATAAGAATGCTGTCTTGACTGTACCCGCAAAGCCCCTAAATCTATGCTGTCCCCGAATTTGCTTGACAGTCTGTTGGTTTGGAGTGTTTAGCAACTGCAGCTGTGGTCCTTTTTCTCTGTAGTGAATCTGGTTGATTATGTCATAATCCAGATCAGCAATTAAAATTCCTGTAACAATTTGACCACAGCCAGGTACCTATGCATCTCTGGATCCCATTAAAAACTTCCAGAGAGCCAGAGAAAACTGCAAACTAAAAGGAATGGGAAGTTTAGCACCAGACTCTGAGTCTTCTCTTAGAAGCAGGAAATCTAAAGGAGGCTAAAGTTTCAGCCTTCCCTGGCGGCAAAAATGACCTATTCTATGGACCTACTACTTAAGAAGATGTCGGTCGCTCTCCTACAGGTACGGCACAGGGGGAGAGGCCAGGACCAGCTTGGGTTCCTCTCTTGGGGGCTGAGCGGGATGGTGAGTGTCGGCCACTCAAAAACCACATGGGAGTCTTTTTGAGGCAGGAACTCACTTTATTGCGTCAGGCATCAACTTATATACAAAAACAAAAGGGGTGTGGAAAAGGGGGTGGGTATAGGAATGTGTCATCTGGGGCGAAGACTGTGGGCCACAGGGAATTTATTATGCCAGTTGTTACTGGGCAGAGGCAATCTTAGATAGGGCACTGCTGAGTCACCTCCACACGGAAGTGACAGGCCAGAGACAGGTCGCTAAACTTTAGCCTGGCTTAGGAAATTATATTAGGCCTCCTTTTTCTCCATGCCATGTGTATGAGGGTCCCGAAGGCCCAACAAGAAGATGCTTTAATAAACAGCTTCTATACCACCTGTTCTTCCTTAAGAATCTCCACTAAATCAACATTTAGGGTTGCTGCATAATCTGTGATCCAAAATTCTTCATGTTAGCTCTGTATTTAGTCAATCCCACACAAACTAAGGAAAAGGGTTCATTCTACTGAGACAAGCTCCTTTACCCCATTATTACAAATCAAGTGTTTTATTTTGATCCTTACTTTCCAAGGCAAAGTATTTTTATATAGCCAGGTGTGGTGGTACACACCAATAACTTCAACATCTGGGAGACAGAAATCAGGAAGGTTCTGAGTTCAAGGCCAGTTTGAGCTACACAGCAAGACCCACATTTATTCATGTAACATGTATTTTCACATTTTCCTAAACTTTTCACCCCTATTGATTTAGTAAAGGGCACTTTCTTTACTCTAAGGAATAAAATCTGTTCAAGTCAATAACATATTTTCTAACTGCTCAGTTCACTGTATGCAGAATGTAACATGAGGGGTTACAGGAAGCTCTGCTATGTGTAACTCGGGAGGACATGCTGGTATTCTCTGACTTATCTACAAAATTGTGTTCTGCTATGTAGGCTGCCATCAAAAACTGATCAATTCTCAAACTCATAACCAGCCTATTTCCCTCACTTCATTAAAAAATTAAATATAATTCTATCAACATCTAGAAAAGAATATCTCTAAGTTGTCAACCATGAAATTGGAAAGTGTATATTTCTACAATCTTTCCTTATTGAAGCAGAGTTCCTTATACTGTCATAATCGAGCTGTTGTGTTTTCCTACACTTGTGGACTCAGAGGAGTAGGTAAGTGCACCAAGCTCAAGCTCTTTGAAGAAATGGCTACATCAGTGGCTTTCCTATGTCACTGCATGTGGCTAATAGCACAACTCAAATTAACACAGCCAGGGTCAGGAACTTACAGAGGAACTTACGTCTCCAAAAGGAGGCTTCCTCCCTAGTTAATTATACATAGGCAACCTAGACCAATAAATCCATAGTTATTTATTTGAGATAGTCTAATCCTGGATTTAAGAGCAGTCCCTAAGTGATGTGAGCCATCCTAGTAGATATAGCTTTCTGACCTAAATTAAATCTTCAAAAGAAATGTATATTTGTGAGTATGTTTCACTATGGAAACAAAATTGCACTTAAAACAATATCAGTTTCCTAGAAGTAACACATAAAACCATCAGCCATAAGGATATAAGTGTTTCAATTCTCTCCTGAATTTATGGGTTTGATAATTACATTTATAAATATTACATTGTGGTTTCTAAGGCTGACACAAAAATAGAGGAAATGTGTTAAAAGATAATTTCTTGATAATGAGATCTTATTGCATAAAAACTTGTACAATTATGAATAAGCACATTACTATAAAATATGAAAGAGAAAACCTTACCCGAATCCAGAAAGCAAACGACAGAAGAGAAAGAAGCCATAACCTTGGACAAATGAAGAAAGGAAGGCAAAGAATCCGTTGACAGACATGCAAATCAGAAGAGACTGTTTCCTTCCCACTTTGTCTGCCAGTCCTCCCCAGAAGAACGCCCCCACCATCATCCCGAGGTACACTATGCTGCCTGCAACACACAGAAAACAAAGGGACAGATCAGAGGTTGGGAACAAATGGCACATGTAACAGCAAACAAGGCACAAAATACACTCCAGCATTTTGCATATGGAGAATACCCTTAAAGAATACACATTCTTCAGGATACAGTAATCACAGGGTACAGTAATCAGTTGTCAAGGTAGAAGTAAACTCTGCCAGTTCTTTGGCTGACATGGCTCCTTTCAAGAACTGACAGGAAGTTATTTTGTTTACCATCACTTGTAGAAAACAAGTCGGTCAGGTTCCACCTATCTGGGCATACAGTGACCAGTCATAAGGAAATTCACAGAGCAATCCTGGAGTTTGGCCCAGGGTCATCACTTTTGGTATAAATGCTCAGCGTGGCACTATGACACGGTCAAGTTGAAAGACCAAGTTGAGGGCCCTAAAGTCAAAGTAGACCTCCAAACTGCTTCAGGTTTCTGCTTGTAACAGATGACTCATGCTAAGGACAGACCTTAACCCTTCTGGAGAATTCTTTGGCTTCTTTCCCTCTAGTCCCTCTTGAAGGCCCTGGCCATTTCTAGACAGCTAAGCAAAGTGAACCTAGTGATTACAAGAATTAATCATAAAAGGTCTCTAGCTTATATCAGAGAAGACTCTTATAGTGGAGTCCACAGAGAAGGGAAAGAGTTTTAGTTCATTGAGAAATGTTAAGCTTATCATGATTGGCTTTGATGCTAAAGGAAACAAATGAAAAATTAGAAATTAGACAGAAATCCCTCTTGCTGCCATTGTGAATGGACAGTTGAATTTTCTAATCCACTCTTCTAAAAAACTAGACCCTCACAGCATTGTATAAAGTCTTGTCAGAATAAAACAATATTAGGTACAGGAAATGTTAGTCAAAAGGGCTTCTAAATATATAAAATGTGTAACAGAAATAACATGATGAGTGCAAGTTTGCTCTGGATGAGGCACTAAAGATGCTGTTAACTTCATCTGTTATCCATTTATTTGTCCTCCCCCTTCTCTTCTTTCCTTCCTTTCCTTTTTTTCCTTTAAAGACTCTTCCTATGTACCCCTGGCTGGCCTAGAGCTTGATATAGACCAGGCTGGCCTTTAACTTGATGGGGTCCTCTTGCTAGGATCCTGGGTGCTAGGATTATAGGCATGTACCACCATGTCTACAGAAGCACCATTTTTTCAAAGGCACATTCCAGATAGTCTGGCATCAATTTGGAAAATAGCCTATTTAAACACTCATATCCCCCAATTAGTTTGCTAACCACACAAATAATGAATCAATATGAGGCTCATAAGGAAACCACTTAACAAGGCCTTGTGACTCTCACATCATGGAGTGAGGATGTTTCTTTGTGGATAGCTGAGTTCACACAGCTGTCGGGAGCCGTAGGCCCCTACCCCAGAAAATAGCAAGACCTGATTCCTGGCAAAGCTGTTTTTCAGACATCAAGGCTGGCCTGGTTTGAGATTAACCAGATGACTATACTTGAAAGCCTCTCACAAACATGTTGTTCTAACCTGGGCACTTAACGCCTGAGAGACTCCCTCATTTCTCATGTAATTGCTAAGAAACTTTGGTATTACTCTGTAATCATACAAGTGTAACCTCTTAATTGATTTATAACTTGCTATATAGAATTGTGGTGTTACTATGGAATTTACTCTGTGACCAATTGGTGTGGTGTTATGATAATCATTCTGTTAATTGAATTGCTCTACTTCAATGGAATTGTCCCTGCCAACTTCCCCCTCTCCTCACTATAAAAACTTTGTGTAGATGTTCAATAAATGAGACTTGATCAGAAAGCCTGTCTTGTCTCCATTCTTCGCATCTCTTGTCCCTTTCCGTCCCCTCTCCTCCCTCCAGAAACCCACGCTGGCTGTCTCATGGTTCGGGACATCTGGTGCCCAGCGTGAGGGCTGGATACGGAGGATCCAGTGAGGGAAGAAGGCATCCCCAAGGAACGCGTTCCACAAGAATTCTTCACTCTGGACACGCCGTGGGAACCTGCCTCAGCTACAACCAGAAGTAAGTACCGACGTCTGATTATGGGACAAGAATTTAGCAGGCACGAAATTTATGTTAGGCAATTGCAGGATGCCTTACGGACGCGAGGAGTAAAGGTTAAAATAGAGGATCTATTGAGATTCTTTGAATTTATTAAGGAAACCTGTCTTTGGTTTCCCCAAGAAGGAATAATAGTTATTAAAGGATGGAAAAGGGTAAAAAATACTTTAGAAGATTACTATAAGGTCTTTGGACCCGAGAAAATTCCTGTTACAGCCTTTTCCTACTGGAACTTAATCAGGGAATTAATAGATTCAAATGAATCCTCCACCGAGGCTGCCATAAAGCAAACTTCAGGCCTCCTACAAGGCCCCTCTCCGGAGCCTCCCGGTGATAAAATAATTCCCCCTAAGGAGATAGACCTTATCTCCCTTGACAGTGACGAAGAAACGTCACCCAAGACATGTTCTGAGATTTCAAATCCCAAACATGTTAAATCAGAGCCTAACTCTAA